TCCGCCCAAGCGATCACCATCGCTTCCCCCGCCCCCATCCGCCTCCTGCGCATCGACGGCGCGGCGCGTTCTACCTCGCGCCCTCGCGCAAGCGCCGCGCCCAAACCGACGCCGCCAGGTCGGCGTCGGCAAGCTTGATCACGAGACGCTCGTTGGTCACACGGCCTGTGCTAACGCCGCTCCCGCGCGCGTGGATCTCGATCCCGCGCGCGACGATGTGCAAGTCGCCCGAAATGGCGGCGCGCGCGCCTCCACGACGAAACACTCGCCACCGCGCAAGCGAACGATCTCGCCCACTTTGAACTGGGCCCCCCCCCAGCGCAGCGAAAGCGCCGCGAAGACCTCGACGGCCCCGATCGCGGAGCGCAGCTCTGGCGAGTGAACCATCGGCGGCGCCGGCGCGTTGCCAGACGGCCCCGCGCCCCCGAGCATCCGCAGCTGGTGCAGGACGGCGGCCCCGAGGACCGCGCGCTCGAAGTTGGAGCAGTTCGTCGCGGACGCGGCGATGCCCTTCGCCACCTTGTTGCGCCGCTCAGTGACGAAGCAGTCGAGCTTCTTGGGCTCCTGGTCAGCGCTGCGGCGTTCGATTGCGATGGGCGGCGTTGGATGGAGCGCCCTCAAACGCCCCCAGCTCGAACGCAGCGCCCACGGGGGGGGGGAGAGGTGCGCTTTCCGGAATTCCCGCGCCGCGTTGTGCAACGCGCAGTGGGGGCCGTGCACCCGCTGGTGGAGGTCAAAATGGACTTCTGCCAGCGCGATGAACTCCTCCTTGGTGGGGGCGGGAAGCCCGCGCTTGGCGCGCAGGAATGCGTCCGCCTTCAGGCCGCGCGCGCGGAATGAATCGAGCTCGCGCTCGAGCAACGCAATGTCGGCGACGCGCTCCTCGGCGCATGGCAGCAGGATGTGCGACAGGGAGATCAGCTCGCTTGCGCCAGATTTGAACGACTTCTTGCACGCGGTCTCGTGTCTAGTCGCGAACGCGTGCCGCGTCGCCGACGAGCCGCCAGCGCACGACCGGCAACGCGCGTACTTGCGCAAGTCGGCGAACGAAAAAGCCAGCCTTCCTTTTGCACGCGCCCAAGAAAGCGAACACTTACCAACCGATGATGCCATTGCTCCAAAGGTTGTGCATTGAGTCGCGCATCAACGCTGACGGTCGCACCGCGCCCCGCAGCTCGCGATCGTCAAGCAGCGCATTCGTGTGGTAGTTGAACACGCTGGCGACCTCGAGCTTCTTGCACTCGGCCGCTGACAGGTGGCCAACCTGCGCGGCAAGCTCGCCCCAGGGCCCCCGCGCCTCGTCGTCCAACTGCGCGTCGAAACGCGCGAAGTCGTGGCAGCAAATGTCGACGAAATAATTGTCGACGTCGCCCGCGACGCGGGCTCCTTTTCTGATGGCGTTCTTGCGTCGCATGCACGGCCGCCAACCGTTGGCGCCTTTCGTGCTGAATACTCCCTCGTGGGCGCCCATGTCGGCGAGGATCTTGCACTGGCGCGCCCGAATCAGCGCCGAGGTGCCGTCGGCCAAGGGCGCGCGCTCGCCAGCAGTGGCCAGCCCGCTTGGGGCGAGGAACACATTCCTCGGGAGGGGCCGAACGATGCCGCTGATGCCGCCGCTCACGCCGCTGGCGATCTTCGAGCGCAGGGCGCCAAATTGAAGCCGCAACTCTTGCCTGCGTAGCGTGTCGGAACCGAACTCTAAGAAGCTGGAGAATATCATCCAGGATTTTGGGTCGTGCCGCGGCGCCAGCGCGTCGCCTGGCGCGACCTCGTCCAAGAATAACACCAGTGTTAGCGGCATGCCAACTTCAACCGCCCGCTCGATCTTCGCCGCGCATTCGGAGCTCTCTCGGCACACGTGCCGCAACAAGTTGCCGACGTTACCGACGTGCCAGTTGAGCGGCTTCTCAGCCTTGTCGGCCATTGGGAGCTCGATCGACGTGCCGACGGCGTCGTAAGCCTCGGCGACAGCGGAACTGGCCGCATTGCGGGATATCGATGCAGCACGATCTGGGTCATCCGCGAATTGCTTCGCGAGGCGCACGAGTGCCCTGGCAGTGGTGCCTGGCGCGGCGTCAAGCTCGAACAATCGGCGACGCTTGGCGGCGCGCTCGCCTGGCGGCGCGGCCGAGGCAGCCACGCGGCGCGCGGGTGCGCGCCGATCTCGAGCCGACGCGGCTCTATATGACTGACCGTGCGCCCAGTCTCCCAGTCTCGAAAGCGCTCGTCATCGCTGGCAGCACTTTCCTTCCTCCTCATCCCCCTCCGCTGTCTCCTCATCATCCTCATCATCGTCATCCTACTTCTCGTTCCAACCACCGCTCATCACCCCGCCCGAAGCGATCGCCATCGCTGAACATTCTGATCCTCACGCTGCTCCTCATCATAGCGATCGCCATCGCTGCCCTCCCTCCCGCAGCGATCAGCGTCGCTACCCTCCGTTCCACAACGATCGTCATCGCTGGGTCACTCGCCCACCCGCTTCTGCCACCTCCACGACTGCACCGCCCACATCCAGCGATCGACATTGATATCGCCGCTATGCTATTACAAGCCACAACCGTTGCGCGATAAACTCGCAGTCGGTGGCGGAGCGGGGCAACGCGCGTCACCGCGCGCCTCGCCTGCACCTGGAACTAACGGGCACACGGCGCCGCGGAAATGCGCTGCGCTTTGCGGGAATGCTGCGCCGCGCGGCGGGGGGCAGGGGAGGCGCTGCAGAATGGGGGATATACGCCGGCATCTCCTCGTCCTCCTCATTTGCCGCCTCCTCGCCATTCCCCTCCGCGCGTCGCGATGCGCCTCGCCCGCGCATGGGAGTGACTGGCACGGCGCGGCGCAAATGC